TTCGCCCAGTGAATACTGAAGATTGACTTAACACTACTCAAAATATACGTACGTATGCACACAGAAAAATCGGTATAGGTCAGGTAGAACACTATCACGATGGCAATTTTGCATACATTTTCCTCCCGCATCGCTGGCTCAGAAATGATCAGCGGAAACTCGTTTACATGAATAATCCCTCTTCAAAATGGCGGCAAATTATGAAGAACCAAGGAAAGAAAACAAATTATATCTACGTCGCCTTGGTTCAGAGGATGACACGGAAAGGGGAGAAAGGTTTTGGACAAAAAATGTAATCGAAATGAAGTTCACTGTCGAAAAGACGTGGCTGAAAGACGTTCGATTTGCCAAAACAAAGCCCAACTACGGGATGCAAGGCCTTGATCCTGTTTTGGAAGAACTCACCGGGAATAAGCTCGAGCTTGTTGGGCCAATGCTGGATGGCTACATAAAAGAAATTGGTTTATCCCTTCAAACAAAGCTATCAAGGTCTAGGATGACCGGTTTGATGTCACCTAATGTTCTGTTTATGCCCTACGCAATTTTTAAACACTTAATGGTTCTCGTGTCTGGATATAGAGCAAACGTTGAATGTACCAGAGATGGGAAAAAAATTACCCTTACGATCACCAATCCACAAACAGCCGAAAGTGTATGGAATCCCTCTCGATTTCAAGGCGAAAATTACCTGAAGAAGAGGCATTTTGAAAAGATCCCTAGCGAAGGACGAGTCATACAAGTTCTGTCCGGTAGGTCTGTTGTTGTTGTCACAGATTCAACACCAATTCAGATGTTGTATTCTGTTAAACAACAAAGAATAACTACAACATTCTACGTGCAAAGATACGATCGGGATGGTTTTGCCAAAGATTCAAGCCTACAAAAACTAATGAACTCTTAACTTAATTCAACGAAAATGTTGTGATGGTTTTGCAAAATAATGGCAAGTCCACAAAAGTAAGCTTAATTAAGCATAATAACTTAGCTCTTAACCTAAATGTTTTAGTGACTTACCACTTTTTAGTATTAGACAGTACAGAGTGTGGCACATATTTAGTGTAACTTGTACTCTAATTTATTTCATTTAATTGTGAAGTAGTGACCGGATAGGAGGAAAAAGATAACAAAAATAACAAAAAATTGAGACAAGAATTTAAAAGAGCATACTTTATTGAAGTTCTTTGATCTGTTCTTTGATATCTTGTTACAAATATATAGCTTATAACCTGCTTGAGTTTTAAGCTACCTTTACATTTTTTTAAATAAGGTAATTTAGATTAATTAATAATATTTTCCCATAAGGAGCACCCATATATCATATATATTATCTAGTTTGTTTGGCAAAACAAATACTAAAATTTAAGGGTAGAGTGCACTAAATAGATGAAACATAAATATTATAAAATATGTGATAAATCATGTTTGTTCCTTTCTTATTGTCTATTAAACAACACTATTTAGTAATTAGCACTATTTGTTTCAAGAATTTAATGTGAGCACTCTACTGTAGTTACACAAACTTGAGGAATAGTTACTATTTTATTACACTTCATTTAATTAAAAAAATCATATTACTTTCCTCTGTAGTTATCAACATAAACAATAAAAAACAGTATTCATATTTTTCCATAGACTGTCAACACTAACTACCAAAATGTTTAACAAAGAATAAGACTGCAAAGATGTAAATTCTATTGTTTTCTATTGTTTGATTATTATAGTACTTTTTTAAAACTATTTTATAATAAGTGTTTCATGGATTAACTGTTTGTATTCTTATTACAAATTCAGAGTAATTATAATGTAGACCAAGGTAATTTTTTTGTCAAGTTTATTAAATCAAATAAAGAATATACATTATAATTTCTAAATATTCAATTCAACATTCTTGTAATCTTGTATAATTAATGAATTTGGCTATTTGTAAAATCATTATTTTTGCTATTAGTATCCAAATAGGTAAAATGTCAATAAAGCTCCTAACAACTAGTCAGATTAAGTAAAGCCTGTGTATGATCATTGACACTGTACAACTACACAAAGCATTTTCAACAATAATTGCTGGCATAGTAATCTAACCCTCGCCAGCTAAGGCCCCCTCAAGACGCTGAATAAGTACACTCTTATTACCAGTTGTACTTAAATGTCTGTTGCGCAATGCCTCCTTCAATGCAGGCACCGGCATAGTTAAGGGGTTAATAACACTACCAGTTCTTACCTCAGTTGTTTTGCAAAAACGCAAATGAGAAGATAATAATGATTTGTCAGCAAACCTACTATTACAATGTTGACATATTTCTGGTTTTAAAGCTGCCAACACTGATTCATCCAACTTCCTGTTCAATGCACAATTGACCACATCAATGCTAGAAGCACAGAATAAACATAAATCATTGTCAATGTCTTTTTCCCTACCACAACTACAATGTTTTGATGAACTGCAATGTCGTGGTAGCCTTGATTGATAGTGGGAGATATATGAAGATGGTATGGGTTGATGTTCTGGTAGGTAAAATGAGCGAACATAATTGCTACGCATAACTTGCCACCATTTACCAACAATTGAGCTGACATTTGAGCGGTTACTCAACATTAAATCTTTTTTCACGCCTGCATGTTTTGCTTCTTTTGCTTGAAGTGATACAATGCCATAACCAACTTTATATTGTTCAAAAATCAGTTTGGCATGGTATGGGATGGCATATCCAACTGTCCATGTTGAAACATTGACACTGCTTTGAAAAAAAAGGGACATTAAATTAAAATACATTTCACATGCATCTTTAAGTTCTGATATCTGAACAGAGTTAAGCTCAGTTCTGTTAAAGAGGCCGCCTGCATTCCTTAAGAGGCAGTCTCTGTAAAAGCGGTCCGATGAATTTCGGCTCAGAAATAGTTTTCCCTCAAATTTCKRCMATGAATTGCCCTATCATAGTAAGTAATGAAAATCGACTTTGTTTTTCAAAATTCGTTAAATTAATTTTTTTTCAGCCTATTTTTACAGGTCCACCGTCTTCGCTAAATTTTCATTTTTTCACGATAGGAAATCGAACATTTTCAGAACAGCATAACTCACAAAATATAGAACGCAGGCCCTAAATATTTTTAGCCATTCTTTTAGATGTATCTGTGCACTAAATAGTAGCAAAATTTTGAATATCAAATATAAGGGAAAAATAATACACTATACGAAGCGAACCCCATTATTCGGCTTTTTGAAATCACGGCGAAGTATACTTTACAAAGTAGCTTTTATCTGCCAAGTCCAACACAGTTTGCTTAAAATTTTTAATGAATTCTACTAACCTAAGGTTGGTTAACAAGAACCCATAAAAACATTTTGCGCTTTTGAGCTATATTCTGTACAGCAGGCACGTAGTTTTCGTGTTTTTCAGTAACTTGC